CCAAGAGCACTTAGGCACACTATCTGGGGCAATAAATGACAAGGTGGTTTTAGGTTTGTGACCTTTGCCATAATCTTTATCAATTCCCTCCTGAGACCTTCCCAACAAGCCATGCACCTTCAAGCCAAATCCAGTTGTCCCCTTCCCATCAGATTGCCAGCCATAATCCCCTGGAGAGGTTATAGAGTCCTGATGAGATGTAGCGGGCAATAAGCTGTATGCACCCAAATTCAAAAATAGCTAGAGTACGTTAGGCTTGATGCAGTAGATAATAAGGAGCTACTGTAGGCTCCTCAAAAAGGAAATACTTGATATAGTGATGTGTCAGAAAGACTGATTTCCTTGGAACTTAATTCATTCCAAACATGAGTTAAACTTTTTTAAGAAATGTCTAAATAATGAACTAATAACAATGAAGTGTTAATAAAGAACTGAAGGTTTTAAAAAATTCCATTTGGCATAATTAAGGGATAAATCAGTTCAAATGAAAGATGTCACTGTTATTAAAAATCATTCATTTATTGAATTATGTTTCATGTGAACAAACTGCATTTTTAAGATTATTTGATTATTATATAAGTTAATGTCATTTCCAGTTTTTGGAAAATTGATATTAATTACATGTCCTCAAAAATGTAATTGAGTTTATCAAATAATTTCTCAAGGGCCACCTGATAGCCACCAGATGGTAACCTGAGCCAAAGGTAAGTCAGAACTCGAAGTTATAGATAGCCCTGAGACTACGAGTTACTAGTCACTCATTTCTCAGGGTTCCTTTAAAACCACAAAACACAAAGGCTTTCTAACACTTCTGTAAATCCCATTTGAACATAATGAAACATGCTCTATCCACAGTGCTTACAATAATTAAAGGTTTTTTTTCATAACAGAAGTCTATCTAGAAATAGCACAATATGGAATGATCATTAATAGATCTGTTAAGGTACTTGAATAAATGCCTATCGAGAGCACAGGCACACATTAGTAAATTTCCCAAGGAAAATCCATTTTCGTTTCCAATTCTGACATTTTATTTAAAAAAATTATGCCTTTCTCTTAATTATTTCAGTAAACATAATGAGGTTATTGCTAACTATACCTCAGAGTATTTTATTTTCTCCAATTTTTTAGTAATATGAGTCTACTTGTAATTAAAGGCATGCTGCATTAATGATGCTGAGCATCTCCAAGGGAAACATTTAATGTCCACCTTATAATATTATGCCAAAATTACATGCACAGAAGACTTTTTAATAATCTTTGTTTCCTAATTTAGTTTTGATTGGCTCTGAAATCCATAGCAGCACTCAGGGGCTTCCATTTCCACAGTCATCAGCACTTCTGCACCATAAATTGTACAAACGCACATGAGTTCTTCCGTCTGTAGGCTTCTTTTCAAAGCGTCTGTTTAACTTATCCTGAAAATTAGCTGCAGGCTAGAGATAATTGCAGATAATTTTGCCATTTTTAAGCCACTGGGGTGTGAGGGAAGATATGACAGCTAAGTTTGTCTAAACACAAAGAACAAGTCATAGCTTTGTGTTGACACTTCAGCTTTACACATAGGTTCAGATCATCCTCTCTGCTCTTTATGCAAATTGAAACAAACTGTAGTCACTAGATGATCTGTGTTTCCCCATAAAGCTCTGCCACCTGAAGCTTTCAGTGTGGCTGAAAAGATAGGATCTATTCAAATGTGTTATCCCAGCCTAAAAAAAGGGTTAACCCCCATCTTCCCTTCAGATTCTTCCCCATTGATGAAAACAGAGATTTTCTTTAGCCATCATCAACTCAAAAGGAATATATCAAATTAAAAAGAAAATGCATGGTTTTCAATATACACAATTTATGTATATATGTATATATGTACATATATACACATTCCCCTTCCTTATTCATTATGATTAATAGAAATGGCAGTGCTCTCCTGAAAAACTAATGTTTATAAATACTGGTACGATTAATACAGAACAATTTTAAAGTACTTGACATTGACTATTAATTAAGTATGGCATCCAGGTTAATAGGCAGAGATCTATTGTTAAATGGAATCCATATGCTCCTTTTTTTTCCTGAAATTTTCCTCTATATTAAAACAAATACAATATTCATGGACAGTCACTGGCATATAATGATGAGGCCAATGAAAAAAGCAGCAACACGGACTCTTAATGCAATGCCAATGAACTTCAACTTTATATTAAAGAAATCGGTCCTGGGAATTATGGGTATTTCCCTGACCACATTTTCCCTCAGTGCTCAGAACCGCTATAGCCACGGCTAATAAGGGTGTAACTAGCTGAACAAGTGGTTACTGAAACTATCTTGTGAGAACATTTACATATAGGGGCTAAGCAGTGGCTGTGCCGATGTGGCAGCTCCCCTGATGTAATAGGCCATAACGACCCCGAGGGAGCAGGTATGCATGTGAATGCCAAGGAAGGGAGAACGTGTACGTCATAACACAAATGACTTCATGGATCCCTATTAGACCCTGGACTAAGGAGTAGCTAAACAGGTTTGATATGACAGCATCCTGAAACAGTTTCCTAACCTTGTGTCAGGAATCCTTACACTAAAGAGTTTTATGAAGCATCTAAAGCTGCAGAGAGGAAGTGTTGCTATATTAGGCCATTACCATTGACATGGTATATGATAGGCATACAAATAGTCCCAAGATGTATATTTAAAAGATAGATTACTAAATTTGTTATGCCAATCATATGCATATTAAGGAATACAGTTAAGCACTGATAGGTAATGTTTCAGAAATCTTACATTCTCCCTTGGAAAACCATTCCGTCCAATGACAAGTTTACATCCACCAAGGCTTCCAAATATCTGCATCACACTAAGATGCAGCTTTTTAAAGACTGTTCTGCAGAGTTTCACGTGAACATGCAAAGCATACACATTACCGCATTTGAGAAAGCTGAGGGATATTATTTTAATTCTTTTCTCCCATTTGGTCTCTAACATCACTTAGCCAGTGGACTGAGAGGAATTGACTTGTTTAAATACCCTAGACCATGTCCTTCTGAAAGGCAGGCATGGGAAGATCTGTAACATGCTCTTTGCACTCATAATGGGAGAAAGACGCATGCTGAAGACACCAAGTAAACCCTTCAACATGACAGGCAGGAGCAGTGCTGAGCAAGCATTCTGTGGCCTCAGACTGAAATCAGGGAAGCTGCACCCACAAATCACACCTTGAAAACATCATATAGGGCCTATGAGAGGGAAAATGGCACCCTTAGAAAGAAAATTTACTATTTTACTTAGATCTGTAAACTATGAAACAATTCCAAAAGAGACATGTTGTTACAGGTGTCATGTAAACAATATACAGAGCTAGAGTATTCTTAATAATATGAAGACTTGGTCCAGAACTCATCCTCTGCTGTAAGAAGCAGAAGACGACACAAGTTTTCACCCAAACAGCAATCAGGATTTGTAATGAGATCTTATATTTGACCTTTTATGAGAAATTATTAAAGACCTCACATAAAGCCACCACAAATGTCTCTGCTCCTTTACAGATTTATTATGGTTTTGCTAATGTGTTTGAATAAACTCCTTCTCTGGAAGTCTCTGCTTTGCAAAGCACATACCTGTTCCCAGAGAGACGGGCCCTCTCTTTGAAATATTTACTCTTTCAGGGCACTTTAGTTACAGTGACACCTAATAGCCAAGCATTTTTTCTCACTCTCCACAAAATCAGGTTTAGACTATAATTCAAACCAGTCCCCAAAGGCACTTCTGAAAAATGGCAAGCCCTTAGCTTTTAGGTGAAAACACTCTTTATTGCTCAAAATTGTTTCCTGTTACAAAACCTTTTTTATAGTGCTAGGTCTAAGATGATCTTATGCTAATTTAACTCACTGGGGACTGTGAACAGATGCTGCTTTGATTAATAGTTTCACTATCCTGAAAATGCCAGGCCAGGTTCAAGATAATATAGTCAGGTAAGAACACTATTAAAATCTGCCATACAATTTTATCTGTTTTGTGGAGACAAAATGGGATCACAGTTCTCGTATCAAATAAAAACCACTTATAATAAAAAATAACATAAACCAAATGAACTCACCATCTGAACTCTTTAGCACATTAATGTATACCATTTGAATCACCAGCCTCTTTACTAATACTTACAGGAATATTGTTAGCTATGTCTTTTGTAAAAATTCAGTGTGTTACCCCAATGTTACCTTTCAAATGGTATTTAACTTTCCATGCAGAAAAAAAGACTTATATAAGCCATGAGAACAATGAATTCTATAACTTTGCCAATCAAAAGAAAAGTATCTGAATTTATGTATGCTGAGCCCTTACTTTTTAGCACATAAGTTTTCTATGTTCCAAAAGTCATCTTTAAAATATACATAGAAAACTATGACCTTGAAAATGAGGGGAGTTGGCAAATAAGATTTTTCTGGAAAAACTTCTCACAAGGCTTTAGTCTCTCGCTCCTGTACCTTTTTTTCTTGCTGGTCTCCTAACCAAGGACTCCCAAATCATAGCAGCTTTCTGATGGAGATAATTATGAGATCTAGTCTCTCCTTAAACTACGGAATTTAAGACTGGCCTTATATACATATGTGAAGAAACATTTGTGTTTTGAAAGTTGGTTTGCCAATGCATTTTATCCTTAACATGACAGATATGACCTCATCATATTTCTAACCTCCAATCTAAAATTTAACCTTCAACTGGACTTTTTCTTTTATAATATGTGTTATAGTGTACCTGCCTTAGTAAAACTATTGGTTTTCAGGGAAGCAGAAAGTAAGTTCCTTCCAGGGCATCAATCACACTGTGCAAATTATAATTCTAAGCAGTATAAGCCTCCACTGAGAAAGAAACTAGCCTGTTAACCCAAATCTGCCACCTACAGATTCAACTTATGGCATGAATTATCTTCACACTCACCACATTTGTATGCATATGCGATTAGACCCTATTTATATAAAATATTTTATGCAAAAGGGTTACCTCACCATTGCACAGAATGTCTCAGGAGGGTCTCCACAGGTAATATCCGGAGGATCGAGTTTCACTTTCAGATATTTTGTCATGTCTGTGGATTCCGGCTGGCAGGCCATGTAATCCCAAACTTTCCCTTCTTCTGTGTAAATCTGAGTCTTACACACATCATAATGTCCCCATACCAAAGGGTAGGGCTGCATCACTGAGGACACTGTAACCCAAAGGGCATGAATCGACAGGAATCTTGACAAATACATCTCTAAATTCTTTGTAATCTTCTTGGAAACCAAAGCAGAGCTTGCTTTATGATCTGCAATCTTTGTCTATTTTACATATATATACATATATGTATATCTGTATCTGGGTAGGTAGGTCTGTATATTTAAAACAAAAACAAAAACAACAGAAAAAAACACGAGGATGGGACCTCAAAGCAGATTCCAAAACCAAATATGAAGAGTTAAGATATTGTGCGTATTCAGGTATATTGAGGACTTTGGTGGAAGCCTAACATACTTGCGTGTTAGGCGTTAACAACTTGCAGCTTTCTTTGTCCTAGAACATATCTATTAGATTCAGGTCTAGTTTGGTTTTGGTAAATGATGTCCAATTGCAGATAATAATTTAGCAAACTGATGGCTCTCCTGTTGTACATCCAATAACCCTGAGTGGTCCTCAATGTTCACAGCTCACAAGGGATGCTCAGGCAGGCTGAGATATCAGTATCTGAAGCAAAAGGATGAGTGTCTATAGCCCGATGTCTGTTTCCCATCAATCATTCTTTTCTTCCGGCACCAACACCCTTTTAGAAACAATAAGAGTAAGAGTTATTGTCCCAGAATCAGTGTATTACGAAATGCACAATATGTTGACATTTTGGAGGTCTGATGCAACGTAAAGCAAATTGGTGTAATACAGATAACCTTTACTCAGCTGCTTTGCTAGAATGAGCAAACCGCGGAAATCATTCACGTAGGGGGGAATTTTGATATGAAGGATTTAACTCTTCCATAACAAAGACAGACACGTGTGTTCTAGGTGAGTTACAGGTTTTCACTTCAAAATTTATATTTCCTTCTTGACAAAACTGAGAGCAAGCATCTAGATTTAAACATTTCTCATATGCTGCAATGCTAGAAAATCTTCCAAGAGAACAATGGGGTAAATGAGCGCTTTTATAACGGTGACAAAGAAATGACAACTACTTATATCCCTTTTGTCTCTTGGCAAAGAGACCCTAAAAATCTCCAAATTCCTTGTACATCTCTTAGCTTTTGTTTGCTGGAGTCAAAATCAGCCTTGTTGGCATGAGCCAGTCCCTGTTGATTTGTTCATTATATTTGAAGAATTTAGCATCTTTTGTTTAGCTGCATTTAGTACTAAAGATAACTTGGCTCTCCGAATAAAATACTCAAAAATAAAACCAAAGGAGCAAAATTTCCTTTCATAAGAATTTTCTATATTTTTATATCTTTTTATAGCCATTACATCTGCATTTGCCGTTACATTCTGTAACAGAAGGGAATTTGTCCCAAAGGCGAATATTATAAGCTGTTTTAAAACTAAAAGCTCTGTAGTAAAACGCACAATTTAAAATGCACATATAAAAATAGTCGAGGGTGAGTTAACAGGCCACGAAGCAGAATAATATGGCACTAATTCTAAGAGAAAATAAAAATTACTGTGTAAAAGTACTTTTGGTTAACTGATAATGCACTCTACATAACTATGGGTAAAAGTCATTGGTGAGTTTAACTGGCCCCTTTTCTGTTTAGAGATCACTATCCAAATCTAAACAAAAGCTAACATTTGAAAACCAGGCATTAAAAAGTATATTTTCTTAATTAGATTATTCATATTTATAGTCTAAAATTAATTGATTTTTAAGCAATGCGAAAAGGATTTTTAAAAAGCCTATGGTTTTGGAAAATTCTATTATAGACCCTTCAATTCACATTAAACAGTTGAAATATGGAAGCTCACTATCTTCAAACAATCTTATAAAGGGAATTCATTATATTTAAATAATGTACCATCTTAAAATGAACTAAGCCACAGAGACTATGAAATGCCAACAGATGGCTGAATTGTGTTTCCATAGCAAAGTAATTTATAATAATTGCTTTATGGATGCAAGTGCAATTTTCATTATATTCAATTCATAAAATGTTATCATACAGCTGCAATTTGTGATATTTTCTATTAGAAAAAGTGTTGAATATTTGAGTTCCTATGAAGCAGTAATTAGTAGTTTGTCTAAACATGTATAAACTACAGCTTTGAATCAGCCTCTTCATTGTAACCTAAAGACTATACAGTGTAAAGCACATTTTGAAATCTTAAGCTAAAAAGAAAAAAAATCAGAGAAGCATGTGTTGTGGCTACTACAGCCTTCTGCTTTCTTCAGATTCGTTAGTAATTTTAAGTGGATATTTTCAGACACAGCCAACAATTTGACAATTAATAATCTGAGAAGGTGTTAAAATGATACAAATCTACATTGTTGAGATGGATTCTTCAACTGTGTTTACTACATTTTAAAAGAGGAAACAAATACTTTCCAAGAGGCAGGGAGATGTAGGCATTGCAATGGAAGCAGTGTAAAATCTACTAGGTCAGAAATTATTACCTTTAATTCTTAGTTTCAAATACATAGCAACTGATTTATCAAGAATGATATAATCTTGAAGACCTGGAACTGACTGTTTTGAGTTTGAATGGAGTGAGCATTGTGTGTTTATTTTTAACATAATTTTCAAAACACCATTTTAAATATATATTTGAATGCTTCCTGAGATTTGTCTTCACTATCTATTTTAACCAATAAATGATATTCTCCTCATGCATTTATTCTCGGTTACGCCCTCCTCAACCACATTTCACATTACTGCAACCACAAAACAAAGGGCGACCATACATTTGTACATGAAAAATTTGAACACTCAGGAAATGTGTGTGAACCCTTTGCTACCTCCTGACACAATAGCAATCCCAATATAACGAATTCTCATTAAATTATACCAGAATTATAATGATGGTCATTACACAGAATTATGGACTACACCATTGATCGAATTTAGAGAACTGACAAGGAAAAATGCAGAGGAGTGCAAGATATTTGAATATTAGGCAGTTGCAGGACTGTGCAACAGACATTCTTGACAAGAAGCAGCCAATTATAGCTTAAATTTCTGGCACACAACCAGTTGTGATTAATAGTTTTCCATTACATTACAGACATATTATTAATGTATTAAAAATGTCAAGCTTTGGCAAGCACTAATATGGCATGGCTCAGTTAGTCTGCAGAGTTTACATTTAATGAGCTCCCATTGACACAGAAAAAGATATTGACCACGGCATATTACAGATCAGGAGCAGAGGGACACTAAGCTGTTATTTAACATAATTATTTGATTTCGTTCTAATTTTTATATTTGTACTATCATTATGTATCATGCATTTCAGGGTCTTTTTACTTTTCAGTGTCACATACACTTCAAAGGAAATCCTCTTAACTTCAAATTAGTAAGAAATTAAATCTATGAACGTCCATGACACACAATGGAAAAGCAGCCTCTGAAAATCAGGAATTTGTTATTAAAGTATAATTATGGAGTTTTCAAAGAAAATACAATGATGTAAAAATAGAATATTATTTACACCTTAACCTCAACTACTTAATGGCACTGAGTCTATCTGCTGTGCTTTCAAACAGGTTAAAATTATCAATAGCTTCTTAAAAGCTAAGTCATCACAGCAAATAGCTAGGCAAACCGATTATGAGAAGGACAGTGAATAACGTATTTGGGGACTTAATATACTAAACCTATCCCTTCTGGCCCATAACTGAACTAATTGTGAAGTGATATGGCCTTTGAATTTGTCTCAGGTGTCCATATCACCTAAATGAGAGCAGATTCAGTAGAGCTCTGGGCAGCTCCAGTTCTACCTCCTCACTTTGCAAACCTTGGGAACTCACTGTAATCAAATAATGCTATCACCTCTACTTGGGATCTAAAGTACTGAGAAGTCCTCTTTAATAAGAACACCTATTAACAGGTTGTGAGTACCCCATAGACCTCTGGTGTATGAATTTTCAAAAAAGATAAAATTATGTCATGGTCCTCAAGTTGATAGAGGTTACTGATCCAGACCAAGAGGGGCTGTAAAATGGCTTTGCACACATAGAACATGTACTTGTCCAGCATTCTGCAGCTAATCCCCTTCCACCTTGGATTAATTTTGCAGAAACCATTTTCACAGGCCCATTCTCTCATCAGAAAAAAAGCCTCCCAAAATATTACATGGAAGTAATAATGATTAATATTATAAGCAATTACATTCCAAAAGCAATTGCCAGTTTCATCAACTGAGAGGAAGACATTATCAGTAAATCTCCTAATCTAGCTGGTTTTCAGCATTCATTTTAGTATATACTCTCACTAGCAGGTGGGAATGGTAGCAATAGGCTATTATTTCATAAATATTCAGCTTTGCAGGGGTACTTGAAATAGATAACTATTGACTCATTTCTCATAGACATTAAGAATTTTATAAATATGCATGTTTCTGAATGGGAAGGAACTAAAGGAAAATTGACTATATAGATCACTGAGTGAAAATATAAAAAGAGAGAGATATACAAATCCTATAAACTACCAAAATTAACAGCTTCCAGCAGTCATAGTAAAATTTATTACATAAGATATTTTAACATGTATTCAATGCTCTTTGCACTTACTTATTTGTTCTGAGGAAAGCATTTTCCAGTCATCTTAATGGAAAACATATGCTTCTGTCCTTTTGTTAACTGTCTCTCAAAATATAAGGAATTTAACATGCACTGCAACATCATTGGCATAGCTTACTCACACTTGATTGGGTATTATGAGCAACTGCCTATCATGAGATTCTTAATAAACCCAAATAACACACCTTGAAAGATCTCTATTTTCACTGAGAGAAGACTGATTGGAGAAATTAGATAGCACATATTTTTCAGGATGATTGAGGATGGGATAATACACAAAACGATTTCAGAATCAGTGAAGCTTAAAAGAAATCTAGAGTTTAATTACCACATGAACAACAAATACTTAATTCTCATGCAGGGCAGTTCAGAGATCTAAGGTCTCAAACATATATATGAGAAACTTTACACCCACCTGAAGTTTTGAAACACAACTTTGGATTAATTTTTAAAGTATGCTAAATCTTATACTAACCTAAGTCTTTACTATTATAATCTCTTATATTATGCAATATAATTCACGCACATATATTTCAATGTTAACATATAATTGGTTTTCAAAGTTGAATCCAATTTTCTTTTTTCCAAGTGACTTGGTGCTTTTGTAACTAAAACTCTCCCAATTTTTACGACACTTAGAAAACCTATCAAGTAAATGTGTAACGGTTTAACTTTTTAAACAAATTACCAGATATTTTTCATAATAATAACGAAAGCAAAGGCAGGTATTTGCACCACTTGCAAAATATACAAAAGGAAATTGCAAAATACATTCGCTTCCTCCTGAAAAGGCTAACCTGAATCATTTTAACACACACACCCAGTGAAAGCTGGCAAACCAAAAATATTAACAGGAAAACAGCTTTATGTTCAAATAAACTGTTTTCATGCAAAAATTTTTAAGATTATCCCTCTTAAATTCCACAATAGGAAACATCACCAAATTAATAGTCCAGTATATAAAATCCTGAATGCCTTCATGGTGGTCTTCAGTGGTGAAATATATCTCATTTCATGGCATCCAGAAAAGAAAATATATCCCTGGAACAACATTACATGTGAAATACTTGATGCACGTTTTTCCTTGCATGTTGATCCACATGCAGAGATCCAAATTTTATCTTAATGAAAAACTGAAAGTTGCTTATCTTCAAAAAGAATCTTGGACAGTTACTGAGCTGCTCTTCCTTTGCCAAAGAGAAAGGGAGGCAGGTAAGGCATTCAAAGTGACACAGTTCAAAATACTTAATGAAATGCGGAGCTGCTAATTCCCTCGCTAGAGATGCTCCTTAAAGGACAAACAAAACAGAAAAGTCTCCTCTGAAAAAAAAATTTTTTGAAAACTTTCCAACAAGCTTAACCACTAAGCATATCTGAATAAATGATTTTAATGTAAGATCTTTCTGGTTATTTTTTTTTCATTTCTGTAAGATAAAAAAAAACTTTTAGTATTTTCAGTCATAAAATAGGGCCTTATTTCTAGAGCAAATCTACTGCCAGATTCACCATATGTTTAGTGGAGTTCTGAATCTTACTCAGAATTTTCCATTCCAAAGATTGACAATTTGTTATGAGAAGGAATGGCTCCATTATTCCCTGTATGAAGAGAAGAATGGGGGAGAGAGGAGGACCCTCTACTCACTGGAAATCTGCCCCTGATGCAATGATAGGAACTCGACATGCGACTTTTCCAAATAAAGTTGCTTTAAAATCCCCGCTAGGAATTTTCTTCCCTTGCCCTGTAAGATGACAGCCTACTTTAAGTGGATTTCTGAAGGAAGGAAAAAAAAAGTCCCCGGGTGAAGTTACTAAAATAAACAGTAGAGGGCGCAGTTTCTTTTTATATCTAAGTTTTTCCTTGTATGAATCACTTAATTGGTTATTTTAGGCCCAATAACATTCAGTATTATTTGTATTATATATAGATATCCAGATCCATACGGGAGAGCAATTCAATGTCCCTAGCCGAATCCATCAACCGATTAATATGATGCCAGTAAAGAATCTGAGAAAATATTCCAAACAGCATCCCTACCCCAAGTCTCCCTCTTTCAATTTCCCTTTCTCCCCAGCTGTACAACAAGGGATAGTAATGCTTTAATCTCACATCAATAAAGGAGATTAAAAGAAGGGACTTCAAAAGGTCTCGGTGTGGCCACCACATCCCCAGAGCCGGCAACAGGGCAAGTGTATTTTGTTGTTGTTTTGTTTTGCTTTTTCCCCAACAAATATGATTGGCGAAAGAAGGAAAAAATAATGATAACCCTCCTGAGCGATGTGTGTGGCCAGGTGTGTGAGAGAGAGACAGAGAGAGAGAGAGAGACAGAGAGAGAGAGAGAGAGAGAGAGAGAGAGAGAGGGAGGGAGGGAGGGAGGGAGAGGGAGAGCGCGGGGCGCCTCCTCAGTCCGCGGATGGAGGGTCCGACCCCGCGCCTGGGATCGGGACACAACAGGCGACGCATCACCCGCCCGGGGCGCACCCCCGGGAAGACTCGCGTGTGGGTGTGAGCGTGTGCCGGTGTGTGTGCGCGCAGGGCGCCGCGCGCTGCCTCCTCGGGGCGCTTTACAAAGTTCCTCGCCCACCCGGAGCTTTCCCTCCCGCCTATGGATAGCAGGGGGGGGCGGGGGGTGGGGAAACCCGGGGAGAGGGGCACGGGCGAGAGGCGCGGGTCGCAGAAGGAGAGGCGCGCCGCGGGCACTTACCGTGTGGCTCGTTTGCCCTTGCGCCGGGCGGGAGCCGAGCCGACGGCGCCGGGCGGCGGCCCTGCCCAGCCAGCCTGGTCCGCCTCGGGCGGCGGCCGCAGCAGCGGAGCCCGCGGGCGGTGCACGGGCGGGCGGCGGCAGCTCCCGCGGAGCCTCCTCCCGGGCGCGGGAGCGGGCGGAGCGGGAGGGGTGGGCGTCAGGACCCGAGCCGCCGCCGCCGCCACCGCCGCAGTCCCGATCGCGCCGGGCCGCTGGCAGGAGAGGACCCCGAGGACCGAGAACCCCGCGCCGGCCCGCCACTCCCCGCCGCTTAATTACCTTCGCCTGGGCCCCGGGGGGAGCCTCCTGCACGTCGCCCCCTCTCGGAGCCGGCACCCAGAGGGGGAATTCCTTCCCGTTGACGTCCTCTTCCGAAATGCAAAAAGATCAGTGACTTTGACAGGTAGATGAGGGGGAGGGAGTAAGGGTGGGCGGAGAGGAAGAGAGGATGAGAAAGGTGCCTCTCCCTCCAAAAATATAGTGATATTAATAATGAGATCGCAGCCTTCGGAGGTCGTGCCAGCCCAGTTCCCCGCTCGCCGGCTCTCCTCCGCGCCTCCTCGCGCCGCTGCCTCTGACACTTCTCGCCTTAAACTTTTACTGAGGGATATTTTTTCTTTTTTCTATTTCTATTTCTTTCTCTCTCTCTCTCTCTCTTTTTTCTTTTTTGTTTTTTTCAAGCCGCAGGACGATGTTCTGGTTCCTGGGGATCAGAACCAGCGGCCAGGCGGTTCTATGCCGCTCGGCACCGCTTTCATTTTATTTCAGATGAAAACGTTGAGCTTAGTCAGAAGGGGCATAAATCAGGACAATTAGCATTGGCGCCAAGAAGATCCTCTAGTACCAATTTCTCCCGGGCTTCCTTCGCGCATTCCTCCACTCAAGTCAGAAATGTCACTGCACATAGCGCTGATGGCTGCGAGACGCGACGCACCCAAAGTCCGTTTGATGAAATATACATGGCCCACGACGCTTCGGGATTGCGGCTCCCGGGCTCCCCGCCCCCGCCCGCGGCACCCGGCCGGGACCCGGCTCCGAGAGGGCAGCCAGCGCCCGGCAAACTTAGGGGCCAGTGCCAATTACAGAGTGAGCGCGAGGGCCGGAACGGGGAGCGGCGAAGACGCGAGCCCGGGAAGCCGCAGCCCTCGGAGGGGTGGCACGTACGTTTCACTTAAAAAGCAGATCTTCTGCAACTGCCAGCAAGTGGAAGGATAGCAAACCTTACACTACCTCGAGACCTGGGCGCTCCGAGCGGTCCTAACTCCGTCTCGCTCGCTGTTGCTGTTGCCGCCGCTGCTGCTGCTCCGGCCACAGCTGCTGCCGCTCCACGACCTCGGGGCGCTGAGGCAACAGGACCCCCTCCCCCTGCTTCCCATCCCCCCGGTTCCTCCACAGAAGTGCAGTTTCCAGTAACTCCTCGGGTACCTCCCACTTCTGCCCCCGTCCATCCCACGCCTCTCTCTTCTGTCCCCTCCCCAAACTGTTCCCGAGCCGACCCCTCGCCACAAAGTGATCACAGTCGTGTTTTTCAACCAGCACTTCCTTTGCCCAGAGGCCCCTACAGCCCTAGACTAGAACCTCCTCCTTTAGAAATTGATTTCCCTTTAGAAAGTTGAAGTTCAAGGGAGAGTTGTGCATTTCAGGCTTTCTTGCCTTTCCTAAGAGAAAGACGAATGACTGATGCTCCAAGCCTTCATTCCCCACCAAGGCGGGCTCAGACTCACCTGGGATCACTCTCAGCTACACATTAACGTCAAACAAAAACAAATGTGAACTTAGATAAGGTAGGGAGACTTTCATTAGAAAAAAAAAAAAATATTGCAACAGGGAAAACGCTGTGATCTCAAAAACCCGCAATCCTCTCAAAACTAAACAGAAATCAGCCTCTTTTTTTTTTTTTTCTGTATTAAAGGGGGAGCAATAAAGAAAGCCAAGTAGACGGGGGAGGGAAACAACTCACTGCCATGACCCTCATGGTTGGACAATAGATGGGTCTCTGTGGTCCAAGAATTTGGAAGATAAGTGAACAACGGTGAATGTTTTCACATTTTAGTTCTTGCTCAGATTTGGGGTCCAGGGGCAAGCTAAAGTCCGGGGACCTGCAGGAAAGAAGCCTGACTCATGTTTGGTCAAGGCAAAGTGGAGGGAAAGAAATGGGCAATTCTGAACACTTAGTCACTATGTGTCCCATATTAAGGCAGGAGGCTGAGTAATTAGGTCATTTTTCTGTGATCACTGGAGGTGGTGTGGATGTATGGGGGAAAAGGTTGTTGAGTTGAACCTATAACCAGGCTCTCGTTGGCCCTGGGCAGCCAGGAAATGGTCAGAGATTTCAAGCACCCCAGGCCTTCCCTCTAATATCTGAGTCCTTCCTCTGAATCTCAGAGCAGGAATCTGGGACTTCTGTGCTTTCGTCTTCCCTACCTTTGTCCTGTAGTGCTGACATTGCAACAAGGAGTTACCTGCAGGGCTGAAACTCCTAACAGGGGTTCTTAGTGGCCAAGTCTGGCTCTTCCCCGTCTCTGGCCATGCTCCTCCAGGTTTAAAATATACTGATTATCTGGAGATGTTAGTCACCAACTAATCCTCCTTCACAAGCCCTGAGAGCCCAGTTCTTTCTATGGGAGCCTTTGGCGATAGGCTATAAGAGACAATACCGAATGACCTTCTTACTTCTCATTAACTCGTTGTCCTGGATCCTGAAATACAGACAGTTCTCAGACTTTCCTCCCTTTCTCACCCTTTCCTCACAAGCGAAGAAAGCCTTTCTGAATTCTCATCCTCAGCTGTATCTCATCATTTAAGGTCCTTCTGTAGTAAAAAGAAAAATCTGTGCAGAGATTAGAGAATTCAGAGACAGGGAAAGAGCCAGATATCAACGAGATATTTGTGATTTTGGCTCCCAACCTGGAAAAATACTTGTTTTCATCTGTCAGAATCTTGGAGCTAACCTTCCTTCCTCTCTTCCTGTACCATCCCTGGTTCCCAGGATTCCTTTGACTATGAGGCAGACAGCAGTCCCAAATAAGTTTGATATGTAAATGGGGACCTCTCCAATTAGTTAACACCTCCCACTACAGGAGTGGGATAGTCTTTCAGAGGTGAGATTTTCTTTGGAGCATGTGCTCTCACCTTTGCAGAAGCTCAGGAAATCACCAACTAAACATGTAGATCTAAACTCAAGGAGGTAAATCAGAATCATCAGAGACTTTTCCACACAAAAAACCCCTTCCCTTCCAGATCTTGTTCTATCCTCCAGCAGTAATCAGGTGGGAAGGACTTTTTCTCTTAAAAAAAGCACTTGGAGTGGATCTGATATAATTCCCCAAACTAACGTGCATATATTAAACCAGTTTTCCTTAATATACCTTTGCATATTTGTTTATATAATATACACTGATCAGAAATTGACTTTAGATATTTCATTGGCACCAAGGGAAATTATTTAGGGCATACCTACCTTTCCTTATCATTCTTTACTTTCTCTAGCCGTATATATATTTAACTTTCTTTGGAAAGAACTATTTTTCTGTTTTTATTTAACCTTTCAACTCTACTTTTTTTTTCTTTCTCTTTTTGGAAAAGAATGGTTTGATCTTTCAGTTCTCTGGCTGTAGATCTTTGGCTGGTTTCTACACATTCCTCATTCTTCTTCAACTTAGATATCCATTTATTTGTAATCTTGTTAGATCTCTAACTGATGTTCATATTTCTAGGTTCTTAGCTGCCTAAAAATCATTTCTTTAGAGATTTGGCAGGGTTGTTTCAATACTGGTAACTTCAATATGTCAAAGTGGTAGTAATGGCATGTTTGCAATATATCTGGTCCAAAAAGACATGTGTCTTTTTGGAAATACTGTAAAATACTTGACATAAAGTAGGTATAAGATAAATCTTCAGTGCAGGTGTGAATAGTTGTAGCTTATTCTCATGATTCAGTTATGTCCTCCTTGGTAACAAGAGTTAACTCCCACCATATTAAATTAATACATAGATGTCTAAAATATCCAAATCATGGCCCATTAGGCACTTTTGGCTGCTATAACAAAGACCATAGATTGAGTAGCTTTAAAACAATGGAAATTTCATTCTCAGCAAACTGACACAAGAACAGAAGACCAAGCACCGCATGTTCTCACTCATAAGTGGGTGTTGAACAATGAGAACGCATGGCAACAGGGAGGGGAATATCACACACTGGGGCTTGGGGGTAAGGGCTAGGGGAGGGATAGCAGTGGGTGGGGGGAATTGGGGAAGGATCGCGTTAGGAGAATACCTAATGTAGATGACAGGGTGATGGATGCAGCAAACCACCACCATGGCACGTGTATACCTATGTAACAAACCTCTGGACATGTACCCCAGAACTTGAAGTATAATAAATCTGGACATGTACCCCAGAACTTGAAGTAGAATAAATAATTTTTTTAAATAGAAATTTATTTCTCACAGCTCTAGAGACTGGAAATCTGAGATCAGAGGGCCAACAGGGTCAGGTTTTGGTGAGAGCCCCCTACTGGGTTGCAGACAACAGACTAACTTCTTGTATTCTCACATGGTGGAAGGAAGGCTCCGGAGCTCTCTGGGTTCCCTTTTATAAGGGCGCTATCCTACTCATGAAGGCCCCATCTTTTTCATGACTTAGTTATCTCCCAAAGGCCATGCCTCCTAATGCCATCACATCGGGGGTAGGATTTCAACTTATGAATTCGGTGGGTGTGGCAAAAGCATTTATTTCATAACAAGGGGCAAGTTCTATTTGACCAATTGTATACTATGTGGTAGATGTTGTTTATAACTGCTGCTTATGTCCCAATAGAAATGTCCTTCAGCTGTTTCTTGCCTTCACTTTGTGCTCAGAGACATGTTTTACAACAGAGCCATTAGCTGTATAGTTTTGACAGGTTCTGAAGTTTCTTACCTGATAGCTTTTTTAATGCTTAAATATTTTGACATTTAAACCTCCAGCAAGCCCTAAGCATTGGTCTGGGCTCTATAAACTAGACTATACTGGCATTTTCCTGCTCTTGTAGAAATACCAAGATACTTCTCTTGAAGCTTTAAATTCACAAGCCCAAACTATCCAAGTAACTGATCATGGTCAACATATATATAGCAAAAGTCTCATTTAGTTCCTCTCGAGGTTAATAGCAGACCAAAGGACTTATTGTTTAATGTAAGAAAATACACATATTTACTGAATTAATGACACTGGAGCACCAAAATTAGCAAATAGTGTAAGACATTGGCAGTTAGTGATCAATGCAGGGAAACATGCCTTCTAGCACCCATGTACATTCTAGTATATGGCACTGTGTAAAGTAGTTTGAAAATAATAAAATCAGCTGCTTGGTTAAATAATATTTTTTAAAGTTAGCAAAATATGGATTTTTAAGGAGAAAGCATGCTAACTTAAAAAATGACTAGCTTTGGTCAAATATTTTATGTCTCTTTTCTATTCCAACCCTAGGGCCCTAGAAATATTTAATGGAAAATTTTCTTTCTTTCTTTTTTTTTGTTTACCCCTTCTCATCCATTAAAAAAATTAAGAGAAATCACTTCTTAATTTTTATGCTCTGAGTATGCAATAGTTGATGTTTTTATCCAACTGGTGAATCTCTTGAAATCATAACACGCTGAGCTTCTATTACTCACTTCATTTTCTTTGAGAATCAGAAAGAACACGTAGCAGTTTATCTTTCTTCTAAGTCTATTCAAAATAAAGGCATCCCACCAGCAGTTTTGGATAATGCTATGGTCTGAACAAACTCAATCAGCTCCCATGTGCTTATGTTTTTTTGAGCTTCATTTGTCAGCCTAATATCTTCAACTTATTTTTTGAAAAGAGTAGTTTCCACAATTAATCTAGTGTGTTGGCTGAAAAAGTTCAACCTCAAAAATCAACAGCTGTGTGGATTTCCCCAAATGTAATTTCATAATTTGAATTTCTCTACAACAACAAAATTAGCAGCCTTTTCAAAATGAGAAGGAAAACACATGGAGAAGATTGAGTAATACCCTATGCCTTATTTAGAGAACTTTCCATCAATTCCATACCACCAGTTCTCTTCAATTTAATGAACATCGATGGCCCACCTAGCGCCTTCTGGGAACTGTCCTTGGTGCTGGAGGAATTGCAAGGCTCTCAAGTCTAGGTGCTGACAATCATGTTAGAGAGGGCTGAATAACTGTAATGTGCATTTTTAATATTAGAGGTAGCTTAAGGGAAGAGGTAGCTGTAATGGTCAAGTCTAGAGGCTCCTTTTGTGCACTCTTTAATGTCCACAAAGATCTGTATCATACCATTGACCCAAACGAAAATAAAGTGCAGCCTCTCTGGTTTAGCAGCCTCTGTAGGCAATTCTTGTACTGTCATATAAATATGGGTCAAAAATGTTTCAAGGACAGAAAAATAGCAGCACAGGCCAGGTGCAGTGGCTCATGTCCATAATCTCAGCACTTTGGGAAGCCAAGGTGGGTGGATCACTTGAATCCAGGAGTTTGAGACCAGCCTGGCCAACATGGTGAAACCCCATCTTTACTGAAAATACAAAAATTAGTCAAGGGTAGTGATGCGTGCCTGTAGTCTCAGCTACTCTGGAGGCTGAGGCAGGA